TAGTGTTAAGTGCTTTGATATTAAAATGACTGGTTTTAAAACCATTAACTTTCTTCAGATAACAGGAAATGGACAATCGCTTCCACATGTTGATACTCTGGAAAATATGTGTTCACTGACCACATCTGACGTCAAATTAAAACATTATCTGCTTTCTCTTATGAATCAGAGAGTTATTGTACATTTTCTCAGGAAGTTGGTTCAACATCTAATAAATTGCATTTACTTTTTAGCATTTTTCTTATTGCACAGTAAAGAGTTATGCCTGTTACAGCTAAGCAGACATGTGAGAAGTCCACTTGATGGCACTGTTGAAATGAAAATAAAACAAAGTAAAGGTTTTGAGATGTAACATGAATAAACAAGACGGGATTAAAACAAACATCAACTTTAAACCATTTCAAAACACTAAAACAAGCATCCAGTCTGTTATTATTTCAATTTTACTGTTTATTTGTTTAAACTTCAGTGAATTCATCCATTTTAGTGCAATTCAGAGTCATTTTTAAAGCCGTTTGACTTAATTGTGACAGAGCAAAACGAATGAGTTACACCACCAACTAAACATTTGACAGATACTGGAGCTAAAGCACAAGTTCAGTGACTGTGTTCTGCGATATTAAATGTGACTATATTGAGGTATCCACCAGATCCATGGTTTGTTGAGGTCAAAATCCCATGTGCTCTGGCTGCGGCCTCAGTCAGTCAGTTCATGAGCACACATTCATTGAGGTGTGGACTGTGAGAAGTGAAATATTTCATGACAGGGCTTTCATCCAGACCTCTGATGCCTCTTTGTTGTTATTTCTGAGTTGTCCCAGTGGACCACTCTTACCTTGCCTTCTGCTGGCTGCATCTCATAAACACACATACATACACACACGCCGCTCGCCTCAGATGTCTTGCATGCCATGTTATCTGTCATGTCACGCACCTTTATACTCTTTCATTCAGTTTGAAAAAAAGAAACAAACAACTAAAAAAAGCAAACAACAACAGTAATATCGAATCGATGTAAGGGTGTTGTGTTTTAGCTTTAGTTAAATTAATTAATTATAGACCTTTATAAGTAAACGAATGAACTCTCTGACTTGTAAAATTGTAAAAGTTTATTTTATAAAACTTTTTTTGACATCCAAACCTCTTCAAAGTGCAGATTTACCTAAATATTCCAACAGATTAGTTAATATTTCAATAATTCATAAACACATTCTCATGCATACAGCTTATCTGATCCCAGTCCGTGATAAATATTTAAAAAATAAAGACAACAAACCTAAAGCCTTTTTTCTTTATTTTTTATTTATAAATGATTAATTAATTGAGCTGTTTTACTTTCAAAAAACTTGTTTCAATTGACTTCTTTTGCTTAAAAAACTTTTATCCTATAGTACCTGTCAAACATTTTGACATATTCGTTCATTCATTTTGTTTTCAGCTTAGGTGCCACAGCGGAATGAACCGCCAACTTATCCAGCATTTTTTTTACGCAGCAGATGCCCTTCTAGCTGCAACCCATCAATGGGAAACATCCATACACATCATTCACACACATACACTACGGAATAGGGTAGTCTACCCAATTTTTCTAAACCACATGTCTTTGCACCCGGAGGGAACCCACGCGAACGAAGGGAGAACATGCAACCTCCACACAGCAATGCCAACTGACCCAGCCAAGGCTCGACCGAGCGACCTTCTTGCTGTGAGGCGATCGTGCTACCCACTGCGCCACTGTGCTGTCCTAATAATATTATTATTATTATTATTATTATTTTATGCAGCTTGCAATAAGTGTAATAACCCCATTTATGTTGTATTTATTTTCCTTTGTAAATATTCTGACCTAAAATAAAATAAAATCCAAATATAGAGACACTTTTGCAAAATTACAAATGATTCTCATGTTTTGTTTTTTTTTTTACATTTGTAATTTAATCTTCTGGCCTGTAATGAGCGTAAAGGTAACTCCAGGTCATGTCAGCATCAGAAATCACATACTGTCCTCCCATATTAAGAGAGATAGAAAAATTAAAGTATGCACTAATTCTTTCTTTTCACAGGAACTGTGCAGACTGTTTTGCTTGAGATAAGCTGATAAGGCTCTGAGATGAGGAGAAAGTTCTTACAAAGTAAGTACCTTGTGTCTTGAAGGGACTTGTGGTTTTTGCAGTTATCTCTCAATAAACATGTTTTTGTTCAGGTGCTTTTGTGTTGTACACTGCAAAATGTCACTGATGTCCAACCCTGATAACTAACTTGAAGGGGGCTGAGAAACTAATAGAATAATACAGTATTGTGAGAATGAACATGCATGATATATTGTTATCATGGAAAAGTGCATAATTATTTATTATTTAAACATTTAGAGTAAATTTTAGGAATTTTCATATCACAACACATTAATCTGTAACATACTTTAAATACTGGCTGAAAATATTTGGATCTTTTATAAGCCTAATGTTTGTTTGTCACAAAAGATTTTTAGATTAGATTAGATTCAACTTAATTGTCATTCCACATGTACAAGTACAAGCGAACGAAATGCAGTTTAGGTCTAACCAGCAGTACAATAGCAGCAAGTTTAGGATATAGGTAAGTTATAAAGTGCAATTATGGAAAAAACAATGATGATATTTACAGATGGATGTACTGATGTATATACAGGTTGTATTAGTTATGAACAGAGATTTACAATAGATGAATATATATACAGGTTGCTGTTAATAATCAGAAGTGTGCAGATAAATAGATAGATATGCAATGTAGTGCAATGAATATGTGCAATAAAAAAAAAATTCAAGTATTAAATAGTGCAGTGATTATGGGAAGAATAAGTTTACTAGTAATACACCAAGTGTGGAGTTCTTTACGTTTACTATACCTATTATTAGATTTAATATTATGTAAAGCCATTTCTGCTGGGTATATACTGAAAAAATCATCAACAATTATAAGTACTGAAAATTTTTTTTATTATATTAATTTATTTAGCTTGCAGGAATAGTAGTAACCCCATTCATGTAATTTTTTTTCCCTCTTTTTAAATATTCTGACCTAAAATAAAACAAAATTTAGTTCTAGAAAGACACCAGCCTTTACAAAATTATAAATGATTGTAATACACATGTTTTTTATGCTACATTTGTAATGGTTCATCTGCTGAAACTTGCTTAAAATTTTGACTGAAAATGTTTTGGTCCTTTATAATGCAATAAATGTGGAGTTCTTCTTATTACTCTACTTATTATTAGCTATAATATTTTGTAAAGCCATTTTTACAGTGTATATTCTGATAAAATCGTCAGCAATTATTAATACTGGGAAAATAATAGTAAAAAAAATAATAATAATGTTTAATAATAATAATAATAATAATATGCTGACCTAAAATAAAATAAAATCCAATTCTAGATAGACACCAGCCTTTACAAACTTATGATTGATTTGGATACACATGTTTTTTATTCTACATTTGTAATAGTTCTTCTACTGAATCTTGCTCGTAATATTGGCTGAAAATGTTTGGATTCTTTTTAGGCCTAATGTTTGTTTGGGGCAACGCGGTGGCGCAGTAGGTAGTGCTGTCGCCTCACAGCAAGAAGGTCGCTGGTTCGAGCCTCGGCTTGGTCAGTTACCGTTTCTTTGTGGAGTTTGCATGTTCTCCCTGCTTTCGTGCGGGTTTCCTCGGGGTGCTCCGGTTTCCCCCACAGTCCAAAGCCATGCGGTACAGGTGAATTGGGTAGGCTAAATTGTCCGTAGTGTATGAGTGTGAATAAGTGTGTATGGATGTTTCCCAGAGATGGGTTGCAGCTGGAAGGGCATCCGCTGCGCAAAACATAGGCTGGATAAGTTGGCGGTTTGTTCCGCTGTAGCGACCCCAGATTAATAAAGGGACTAAGCCGAAAAGAAAATGATTGAATGAGTGTTTATCGCAAAATGTATATATTTTTTTTGCTGATATTACACCAAATGTGGAGTTATTTTTATGAATATACTTATTATTAGATATGATATTATATGAAGCCTTCTTTACAGTATATTGGGTATATACTGTACTAACATATACACTGATACAACCTTCAGCAATTATCAAAAGAAAATCTGATCTAATCATGTGCCTTTAGTCTACTGATGATGATAAAGAACATTACATTTAAATAACATTTTGCTGTGGATTTTCCAGCTTTGCTAATGCAAATGCACATATGAATTATTAAAAAGATGATAACACTCGGCTTTAACCAAAGCAAGAGTAGATCAGAGAGCTGGACGTCTCTTGTATCGCACCCTTGACACTGACCCTTTTGCGCTGACCTTTACATCGCCCTCGCCTCAAACAAACTGTCAGCGATCATCATGTTGACTTTCAGATCTGTCTGTTTGATTGTAAGTCAGTGGTCAAAGCAAACAAACAAAACTGCTGCTTTCATTTCCGCTGTTTTCTTGTGTCGACTTATTGCTCCTGACACGTTCCAGTTCCTCTGTTTAAGACCAGCGGTGTCACACCAGTGTTTAACGACTGTCACGCATCACAAAACAGCACTTTTGAAGCGCAAATAGGTGACCCTCCACCTCAGTCCCACGTCTTCTTCTTCTTCTCTCTAGCAACAATAACAATCAATTCTTCAACATCAGAAGGTTCTGAAGAACAACTTATAAATCATATGCATCCCCTGCTGGTCTCTTGGCGGCCAAGTTGACTTTACTGAAGCGTTTCTTTGATCCTGCACCGCTTTGATTCACTTTTCTCTCACCCTTTTAGCTAAACATATCATTGGAATTTCGCTCTTTGTTCCTGACAGGTCTCGTCTTCGCTCGGTTTCTCTGCAGACACGCAGCCCTTCCCAAAGGGGGAGAATTGCTCCGCAGCCCAGACGAAATCGAGTGCTGCTCAAAGATTTATCCTCGTCTTTTGAGTCGACTCTCGCTTTTCTCCTTCACTCTCTAGCTTGACATCTCCGGGCCGGCGCTCCATCCCTCTCTGAGCCACAATTGAAATGACAAGGTTGGTGTGGTCAGTGTCATTCAACGTTTCGTAAATGCCAAGCATAAGTCTCATTAATCTCTATTACAAGAAGAGAATTCGAAAGAATTGTGGATCTCTGATGAATTCATGCTGTGATAAGACACATTTCACTGTCCTTGTTTGGGATCTCAAAGCACCAAGAATGTAGTGTAAAAAGAATAATTAGTAGACTACACTGTGAAATAAAAAGAAATTTGTAGAAAAATGGAAATTAATCAGTACTTCTTCCATTAAGTTACAAAATTGTATATATATATATATATATATATATATATATATATATATATATATATATATATATATATAATATATAATATATAGATTTATCTCACTGTAATCTTGGAATTAATCTAGATTAAAATTATACATTTGAATTCTGCCAAAGGCATTCAGAATATGTGTGCTACCCAAATAATGTCTAAAAGTAAGTCTTTGAGAATGGGTTTCTCAAGCCAGGTGGCGCATTAGACCAGGGACTCATCTCCGGTTTCCAAAATGCATCACAAACTGCTTGAGAATCTGTTCTACTATGATAATTGGTGATGAAAATAAAAGATGTTCAGTAAGATGTACTTGTGTTTACTATATGTTTATTCAGTTAAACATGAATTTTAAACTGTAGGCCTACATAAGCTCGAAACAGCAATTTTTGATGACCTTAATCCGACTAAAGTCATAACTGAACTAAATGGAAATGGAATTAAGACATGTGGAGTATGCATATATTAGTGGCATTATTGAAGTAAACACCACAATTAAACTATTACCGTCATGTAGGACTTTTTGCCATGTTTTCCGACAAGATCCACACACGCAGCTTTCAGTAAAGGACCACACACACGCCCACACATCGCAAAATGTGGAAGTTTTTTCTTTCCATTTGGCGTGCATTATTCAATTCCATAACACTCTCACCAGTCCTTACTCCTTTTTTGCATCTAATACCCCAGTTTGTCACGGGACATGAATGAAATGTTCATGAGTGAATGTGAATCTGCGGAACTGCAGTTAAAGTCACCCAAAATGACAGGAAACTCTTACATAAAAGCACTCTAACAGAAATCAGTCAAGTTTAGTGAAAGAAAAATCATGGTTTGGGGTTACATTCAGTAGGGGGTGTACTTTAGTCTCCACATCAAAGTTTCTAAAAGCAAAGAAGGTCAAGGTGCTCCGGGATTGGCCAGCCCAGTCGTCCAAGCTCATAGGAGTCATACACAATATTAATTCTTTTTCCACTGCACCATGGCTTTATATTCTATACTGTACATTATTTCTGTTAAGTGACAATACTTTTGTCTAACCAAAGTCAGATCTTTCTGTCCTAATTAAATAATAAAAAATCAAGGCATCATCATATATTATTTTTGTCAAATAAGTGTACTCGGGAGGCTTTTTCTTTTCATATAAGCCACTTCTGATATCAAATGATCAACCAAAAGTTATTATTTTTTATTCCTAAAACTTGAATAGGCGACAAGACTTTTGTTAAGTAGTGTATATAAATATTTTTTCAAAAGAAATTAACAAATAAAAAGATTTTAAAAAATAAGGAACTAAGCTGAAGGAAAATGAATGAAAGAAAAATTCAGGAAAAAGCTAGAAAACATGTAAAAAAAGAAAATTTATAGAAGATATTTAATTTATGTTTACTTTCCAAGTTGAAAACTTATTTTAAACCAGACTAAGAAAAGTCAACCTGATTCTCAAATGTTAAGATTGCTAAAATGTAGATATTAAATATTACTAAGAGAAAGGAGTCTTGAGTAAAAAATCAAATAAGCAAAATAATTAGGGCATACTGGCATTTTTTTAAAGGTTGGTTTTCATTAGAAGATAAATAAACACAGATTCACTTCCTTTTGACTTTGAAGTATAATACACTGAATCTGAGTGCAAAAACATGATCATTATCTACTACAAAACAACAGCTCCAGGGTCTTAAATGTGACTGTTTACATGTAAGACTTGCTTTTGTGTAATAGTTGATGCCCAACATCAGATATGTTCATATCATAATGAAGAAACTCTCTTTATTGCATTTATTTTATGATGGATTCTACATCTACAACATTATTATCAAGTTGCTTGAATGGTTTTGTTAATAAGACAAGAGATGTGTTATTTGATACAATAAAGGAAATTACCAAAACAACTCTTTTGAACAGCTGTGTGGAAAAAATGTTGTTATTGGAAGCATAGAGAGGTAAATAAATGTTTATTCATAACATAATTTTTATCTTTTGTGGCACAGTGACAACACCATCTGGTAGGATTTTGTGATTGATAATTATAGAAGACTAGTTAAAGCATTATGTTGTTGTTAAAAGCTAAAAGTGAAAGACTTTAACATTGTTTTATTAGTGTGGTTATCTGTCTAAGCCCTGTTTTCTTCTTCCTGCTGTGGTTGGTTAGTAGCTGAACTCTGAGTTCTGAGCCTGTGGTGAGATAAATCAGTTTTTGATAACTTAGTTATAGAAAAAGTATAAGTAAATTCTGTAGTAATTTACTTGTTCTTTGACAGTTAAATAGTTGTTGAAAGATTATTTTAGGGAGATACAAAATTTAATAAACAATAAAACAAACGTTAGTTTTGTCAACTACAAAATTGCAGACTACAAAAATGCAAGTTACAAAATCCTAATGAACATTTTCAACCTTATTGTCCAGGAAAAAAGTTTAATTGAACCTATTGTTCACAAGTTGATATTGTTGACACAAATGTTATTGTATACAGTTGAAGTCAGAATTATTAAACACCTTGAATTATTAGCCCCTCTGTTTATTTTTTCCCCAATTTTTGTTTAACGGAGAGAAGATTTTTCCAACACATTTCTGAACATATAGTTTTAATAACAGATTTATTTTATCTTTGCCATGATGACAGTATTCAGCTTAAAGTGACATTTAAAGGCTTAACTAGGTTAATTAGGCTAACTAGGCAGGTTTGAATAAAAATGGTTTCCTCTGTAGACTATAAAAAATATATAGCTTAAATGGGCTATTACTTTTTACATTAAAATTTATTTAAAAATGTAAACTGCTTTTATTCTAGTCAAAATAAAACCAATAAGACTTTCTGCAAAAAGTCAAAAATATTAACATACATACTGTGAAAATTTTCTTGCTTTGGGAAATATTTACAAAAGATAAAAAAAAATTCAAAGAGTATATATATATATATATATATATAAAGTTTTAAAATACCTCAACCTGACATTGATGAAAAATAAAGTCAATACATCATGAAAAATTAAGACCAATTACAGTATAATATTGTTTGTTCTGTGGACAATTGAAAATAAATTAATTATATCATATTAAGAAAAAATATTATAGGAAATACTGTGAAAAATTCCTTGCTTGGTTTAACATAATTTTGGACATTTTTGAAAAAGAAAAATGGGGGCTAATACTTTTGACTTCAACTGTACTTAAAAGTAAAAAAGTCAAATTAATGTGAAATTAATATAAAAGATCTTAAAACAAAAGCAGTGATGAACCAGTTATAGTCAGTTTTCTGTAAAGACATATAAACCTGGCAGATAACGAAACCTAATAAACATTTTAATTATTTTTATTTAGGAATGAAGCTCACTCACACTCAAAATACACTCAAATATAAATATAACATATTTATAATATTTTAATCATGTGCAACAGACATTTATAAAAAAATATTCACAGATAGAAGTAAAAAATGATTTATGAACTGTAATATCTTATTTTGTAAGTTTAAATCTTCTCTTACTCTAAAAAAAAGGTTTGTTATTCATTTATTATACATTTTTGTATGTATTTGTATCAAAACTATCATTATGCTTTCAAAATCCATTTTTTTCTAGTTAATTAAACTTTTGTTTACAGTGTCTGTATGGGTACTTGTCAGTTAAATTCATATATTTGTGATTTTACATTATACATATTTCATATTCGCATATTAGCTTTAGCTATCGTCCATTGCCAAAAGTGTAGCCTGTTTAAATGCCGGAGCATTGATCATTTTATGATGAATATACTGTAAAAGTTTTCTTAGTTTCAAAAGAACTTAAAAAGTGATTTCAGAACTGGGTGAAATAACTAACAACAACTTCTACCAAGAACCAACTAGAGTCCTAAGAAATAAATGTGAAATGAATAAGAGTCACCAGTGACATAAAAGTTACAATCAAAACCCTCCCTCACCCTTGACTCAAAAGAGCATTCCAAGAATAAGAAATGAGGGGGTGAGAACTATGGCAAGCTGTTTTTACATTGAGACTGTTGAACATACTGCTTTTTGTTTTCATTCAAAGTTTTAGACAAGTGGTCAACGAACTTGCCAGTGTCTGGCAGATTTTAGCTCCAACCTTAATCAAACACATCTGAACAAGCTAATCAAGGTCTTATTAGGTATGCTTGAAACATCGTTGGAGCTAAACCCTGCAGGGACACTGGCCCTCCAGGACCAGGATTGGTGACCCCTGTTTTAGACAATCGTGTATTTTCTATTAAGTGCTGATAAATCATTGGGTAAACTTGTGCCTAGTGGTTTCCGGTTTAGTGTTGGCAAGGAGGAAAATAGCAGATATTAATAACTTTAATAGTTTATTAGGTTGTACTGATTTAATTCCCAGTATTGTGTTGTGGCTGGAAGGGCATCAGCTGCATAAAACATATGCTAGAATAGTTGGTGGTTCATTCCACTGTGGTGACCTATGCTAAATCAGAAACAAAAGACTGATTTATAGTTCTGCATCAAGCACACGAGTTTGATCCGGCGCAGACTTCATGCTGTCGCATAGAATTCGTCTTGACTTGTGGCTGATGCCGACGCTGACATGCACCTCTTAAAAAATGTAAGTACATGTCCCATTGACCTGACATATCACAAGCTCTGGGAGTGGTTGGCTTGGTTGCTGTGACGTGAGCGGTGCTAAGATCTACACAAGCCTGCTGGAGCGAGTGTTTAAAAGTGTCGCTCCAGATGGAAACTTGTTTTGTGTTTACCTTATGATTAAAGTTGTTGCACGTCCACCAGTTCCCGCCTCCGAATGAGCGAGTTTTAGCTACTTGTACGTTAAGGTAGCATTCAGAAAAGAAAAACAACACCCACGAAGAAACTCGACACAGAGGAACAAAAAAACTTTCTGCCTGCTTCAGAACATAAACAGTGCGCAGAAGTATAAATGCACGACTACACACAAGGCTGGCCATAGGTCACACAGATTAATCGATGCAGAACTGTAAACCAGCCTTAAGCCAAAGGAATATGAATAAATTAATTATTTATTAGACACTAATATATTTTACTAATATAATTTTATATCTTTTAAACGTTAGTCAAAACTGCTTTTTTACTAGTTATAGTAGGTCCACACGGAATAAGTGCGTTCAGAAATCGGTAGATTTTTACAGATTTCTAGCCCATCACTAAATCTATTTATTTACTTGTGTAAATGTGTGTAAATGTTTATTTGTTCAGTTTTTTAATTATTTTCACTAATATTATTGTGATATAATAATAGTAATAATAAAATGTTTATACGATTCATTTACAATATCGTTTGTAAAGTAATATGTTTTGTCTTTTAGTAGATATTTTATTTGAGAGACTTGCTTTGTTTACCAAAGAAGTTGATCTAATTGGAGCTGCATTGTAAAAATTAAATAAAAGTTAAAAATTTATTATTTGTTGATTTCATACAGTATATTGTTTTTAGTTATGATACTCCTAAAATAATTACATATAAATCCACCGATTTTTTTTTTTTTTAATTCTTAGCAGAAATAGCGAAAAACGTCAGCAGATTCTGTCTGGCCCTTGTAACTTAGAACTAGACAATACTTAAATGCTTATATGTAATAAATATCTTCTAGTATCTAATAAGAACTACTATCTAATGAATAAATACTAATATAACAAGTAAAAAATTTGATCGAATACACACAAGTATCTAATAAGCAGCAGTAAGTATTTATACTTTTAAAGCAGTATTTTAAAAGTGATACTAGTGCCTAATCAATAATTACACTGTATGTAAAAATATGGTGATAAAGATTGGAATACATAGTTAAATCTCTGTCTAGCAATAATAAAATTACTACTCATTATTAGGTACTAATGTGTCATAAATTGGTGCTAAATAAATAAGAACTTATCTATTGATGAATAAACATTAGATTCTTTTACAAATGTATCAGTAAATAAGCACTAGAAGGCAATAATGAGTACTAGAAGATTAAAAGTACATAAGTTTCTTATTTTATTAAATGTTAAAATGGCTTGCCATACAGGAAGGAAATGAGTGGAGTGTTTCAGGTGTACAGTATATATATATTGTCACCTGTTCCTCTGAGAGCTCTTCATAAGTAACTTAGACGTGAGCTAGTCATGATCAACTGGAGTTTGTGTTTATTGTTTTTCCCTACCTTGCTCTTTGCTTGGTCTAGTGCTGGTCCAGACGATTATGATGAGGAAGGTGAGTTTATTAAAAAAAATACCTCTAATTTAGAGAATAAACATTCAATATTTACATTTTAAAGTGACTTTTGAATACATTAGGTGTTGATTATATTTAAATGTTATCTGTCTATCAATGTATCTATAAAGATATGCTATAAGTTAATGATTGAGGAGCGTGAGAAAATGTTTCTCACTGCATTATGAGAGTAAGGAACTAGTGTAGTATTGATCACATACAATAACAAGTCCCACAAATGGAACTGTACACTCACTGGAAACAGGTGTTTGCCCAATGTATGAGTTATAGGTCAGATTTGTAGGATAGGAGCAATTGACACACATTCTTGCCAGTATTCGTTTAGATAAGGTTCAGATGATGATGATGATGATGATGATGATGATGATGATAAGCTTGCTGACAGGCAGCGGTGCACATGCTTTCCTGGAGAGCCACATCAAAAAGCCTGAGGAGGGGGAGGCATTTATATGTCAGCTGGTATCCTGTATACCTTGTCAAAGACTCAGTCAGAACACATTCATGAAGTAAAACCCTGATGGTTTTTTGCAGTGTTGTTTATTAATCTTTTAAAGACAGATAGAAGTATGTGTAATTGCATATACTGTAACGACAAATAAAATGCTGCCAATGATATGACAACGTTTAAAAACATGGGCAAATATAAAACTGCTCATTCAAAGGTTGTACATATAAAAACTCTACCATAGAACATTTGCTCACTGCTAATTTCTGCATGGTGTAATTGACTGTACAGTGTAGTTTTTCTGTACAAAAATCCTGTATTAAACATATGTGTTTACATTGAGTAATGAAAATGACGCATAGAGTAGCAGATCATGGATAATGCTGCCAGTTATCACAAAATTAACTTGATACATACTCGATATGTACCCCTGTATGCATTTCTATATAGACAGTGCAAAATACGTCCCAGGAGGTACAGTGCATTTTTTGCAGTTGTAGTTTGTTACTGTGAATTCACCAGTGGCCATTGTGTACACTTTTTCAGATCTCAAAATTTTCTTTGCTGTTCTCATGTAAATCCACCAGAGGCCACTGTCGACTGATTGACTGACCCACCGACCAATCAATCCCCCCCATCCACCCCCTTTCCTAAACCCAACTGACAGTGTTTTCAAAAGCGATAAAAAAAAGCCCTCACAGTTGCCTGACATTTTAAGATCTTACCACGTTCTCACCCTTTTATTTACTTGTTTATTTTATTTTTTACCTTTTGTTTTTGATTTACCTGCTTTCTGGAACCATTCCTCACTGGACTCAAACCCTGCTGTCTCAGTCAACTCCTCTCTGCATCTCAGATGTACATGGTGCCGTCAGCAGCGTCATACCGCATCTCTGCGTTCATTTTAAAGATGAAATCTTATTATCTTATGTACTTCTGACTATATAATTCACGCTCTCCAGAAATGTATACGGGGGTATGTTTTTACATGTGTTGAAATCTACAGTCCTACAATGTTTATTTTTAATGGAATTGGTTAGCTGAATGGCTCAAGTTGCTTTTGTGGTACAAAAGCCTTTGAAAGAACATTCCAAAAAATCGTTTTTGTTCAAACTACTTATTTAGAATGAGTTGAATCAACATGATTCTTGTGTTTTTTTGGGACAACGTAAGTGTTTTATGTTCAATCTACTTAAATTTGTAAAAACTAAATTAAGTTAATTTACACTGTGTTGGGACAACAGGAAGGAATTGTTTGAAACTCAGCATTTACAGTGAAGTTAGAAATATTCAACATCGCCAAAAAAAAACAAAAAACTGTTCTAATCATGAAATATTAAAGCAATATTTGATTTGAGTGACCAATCAAAATGAAGTATTCAAAAGAGACATATGATAAATCAGCATGCACAATGACAGCTATGAGTTTAAAATCTTTGTGCTGTTTTTGCATATACCTAATCAGAAATGCTTTATTCCTTTTAAGAACCCATAGAAGACATCGACCCGGACAGGATTGTATTTAATATTAGTAAAACACCATATGGTGTTAAAGTAATATGGAGAGTTGCAAATAATAATGCGGACCCTCAGTGTTTTAACACAGAAGTGCAGTACAAGCGCCAATGTGAGAAAGACTGGGAGGTACAGTACTGAGTTCTCACAGACACTTACACATCAACAGAGTTTCAGTAAAGATTATTGCAAGCATCAAACTGAGACATACACAATTGTTTAAATAATGACGGAGTAAGATGCTTGTGAACCTTATGAAATTCGAATCTAGAGAATCTTACAGGCTGTTTTGCTTTCATGCAGAGAAGTCACAGGATCAAACTTCAAAATAATCAAGAGGAGAATCATTTAAACTTGTCTACTTTAAGCACGAAGATGAATTATGATTTCAGAATAAGAATGAAGTATGAGTGTTTGGAAAAGGACTGGAGCAACTGGACAAAAGTACAAAGTTGGGGAAACAATAAAGGTATAGTTTCTGTTTCTTTGTGTTATATAAAATAAACATAGGATCAGATTCATCCCCTGGACTTGTTTTGATGATACCAATTTTTTATGGTCCAAGAGCACATTAAAAAAATGATTTTCCTTCAATAAATAAATGAAGAATTTTGTTCACAGATGTCTGTATGGTGAAATCATCTTACTACATATGGGTTTACATTTTGATAATCATGCTGCCACTGATTACCTTTCTTCTCTTTTGTCTGCTGATTCAACAAAGGTGAGAAGCACTTTAATTATTAATAATATTCTCCAAGCAGTTTGTTTTTATTTATTTTTGTTAAACATCTTAACGCTGATGACGTTGTTTGGTCTTGAAAGAATTAGAAAACTGCTTCTTCCTGAAGTACCAGATCCCAAACACTTAAAACATAAAATCATGGACACTGAGCAGTTTCAGGTAAGGCATTTGAGGAGACTTTCATAATTTGTTTTACTGCATACATTTTACACAATCAAATGTGAACTTTGACTAAACTCTGTACTTCAGATATGTGAGGTTTCTTCATTTGTTTAAGTATAAAAATAGACTTATATCTTTGTGCTTGTTGTAGTGCTCCTGTAGCAGCTTGTTAGCAGTTTACATTTTGCAAACATTTCACATCATGAAACATTTGTTTGAGGTCGGTGATGTATGTCATACAACAAAATGTGAAAGTTTTTCCAGCATGTTGTTACATGTAGAACAAATTGTGGATAACTCTCAAAAGTGAGCTCTTTAAAAAAATCTGAGATGTTAATATTTTCACTTTTTCCTCCAGTATATCAAAACATGCATGCACATAAAGATGTTTTGGCAGTTTGTTTAACCTTGCGCTTTATCTGATAATAAACACTGTTACATGACACATTGCTTGCTGATAATTGGAGCAACTGTGCATACAGATAGAAGAATCTCTACTAAAGGCTTTTTTACAATTTATTTATTTTACAAACCCAATGGAAATTACTGTGGGAGCTTACATGTCTCAAGTATTACATTTTTCTTAAATCTGTATTGAAGAACATTTTACACCCATAGGTCCATTTCATGGTGTGAAAGTGTCTTTATATTGATAAACAAATATTCTTTAGGTAATTAAATGTACATGATGTAACTTTGGCCTTCTAGTGGAATAAAACTAAAAGAGTTTTTTTGATTGTGCTTCGACATTGCAAATCTGCCCACACTAGTAAGCAGGTAAGTCTTAAGCCTGACTTATTTTTTTGCCTGGTGCCACGTCACAGACCTCACGAAACAGACAAGGCTTTTACACTTGATGCATTTGCCATTGTGATATTCTTTAAAACGTCAGGAGGGGCGGTCAAAAGAAACCCACCCTAAAATCAGACGGATAACTACGTCATATCATATGTTATAGATTTTTAAACTAATTATTTTATCATTTTTTTATAAAATATTTTAATGATTATAAAGATGTGACGCAGTGGTGCAGTAGATAGTGCTGTTGCCTCACAGCAAGAAGGTCGCTGGTTCGAGCCTCGGCTGGGTCAGTTGGCGTTTCTTCATAAGTTTGCATGTTCTTCCCGTGTTTTCATGGGTTTCCTCCGGGTGCTCCGGTTTCACCCACAAGTCCAAAGACATGCTTTAGGCGAACTGGGTAAGCTAAATTATCTGTAGTGTATGAGTGTGTATGGATTTTTCCCAGAGATGGGTTGCAGCTGGAAGGGCATCCACAGCGTAAAACATATGTTGGATAAGTTGGCGCTTCATTACGCTGTGGCGACCCCAGATTAATAAAGTAACTAAGCTGAAAAGAAAATGAATGAATGATTATAAAGGTTTTGATATCAATTCAAGATTTTTTTTTGTTTCATCACTTGTTTTTGTTCATATCTCATACAGTTCTACCTTTTAAAGTTTATTAAAATATTAATGGCAACAGAACTGTGTTGCTCTACAAAAATATTTTTTATTATGGAAAGAATAATCCATTATCACCAATAAATCCAAGGAAAACAGGGCATCAGTATATTGTAAACTGATAGGTTCAAATATTCTTTATCAGTTATCAAATAAATAATTTGTTACTTCATTTTAGTTTTGTAAGTATTAAATTAAAACCTAAAGGTGGAAAAACAAATATTCTTTAATATTAAATCCACCCATGTCTCCACTTTTGCCATGGCCTCTCTTTTTGGTTTTAACAAACTTATCCCTCAAGTTTTTCTAAACTTTTTAACAAAAAAAATCCCCCTTTCTCTTGCTGTTGCAATTTCTAGCCAAGAATTATTGTCCATCAGGTTATCTCTATGATCACGCAAAAAATCTCTTCAGAGTGATTCATATTCAACTCAATTGAAACGCAGAGCCACACGAACTGTTCGCTCGAGTCTCAAAATGTTTTGTGCCCTCCGCCAGCCGAAATCCTGTCAAACCTTTGCAAACACATCGATGATGTCACATTCGCCTCGCACACTCATGCAAACTATCAGAAGTATCGAGTATAAGCCAGGCTTTACGGTCTTTGCACATTAAGTCTGAAATTTTCATTTGCATTTTTCATAATTGTTATACTTAAATTTCCTCACACATACCTTGTACACTGAGTCAGATGCATATTAATTAATCTGTTGTTGGGAAAAAAAACCACAAACCAGTACAATGTGTCCATTTGATTTAAATGATCCTGAACAGAGACTTGCAGGAACATAATGCCAAAAATGCAACCCAGGCTCATTCTGAAAATGCACCGCTATATACATTTCTGGAGAGTGCCAAATAAGTCCCAGGAGCTACGTTTTTTGCGGCTTTTGTTTTCACAAATCCACCAGAGGCCGCTGTGTATGCTTTTTAAGATCTCAACTTTCTCTTGCGAGTGCCATTCATGCCTGCTGTGGTCATGTAATTCCACTAGAGGCTGCTGTTGATTGACTGAATGGTGTAAGTGTGTGCGTGTGTGTATTTCAAATGGCATTGTGTGACTCATTTCAGAAAGGCTTGAATAAACTCCACTACAAATACATGAAATAAATTTTCTTTCTATGTTTGACTAGTGACCTTATTTCAGCTGCATCATTGTCTGTCTCTATTACTGACTGCTGTTTATCTGACATAACGCATGAGTAGCAGACATGCACATGGGAATGGTGGGCGGAGAGAAGCATCTCATTTTCATTTAAAGCCACAGGCTACAAAAACAGCTACATTGATTCTAGAGGCTATAATAAATTATCTGATGGGTATTTTGAGCTGAAACTTTACAAACACATTCAGAAGACAACAAAGGATTATCTTACATCCTGTTAAAGAGGTCAAATAGGTAAACTGAATGTACTAAAAACATAAAAAACATAAAAAAGTTTATGTTGGACAAGAAATGCATTTGAACTTTGAGCCATCACAACAAAACAAAGTTTCTTGTACATAACATTTCATTTTTTTTTTTCATTGAAAACTTTTAGTTCAGTTAACTAAATAAAATAATATAAAAATAAATATATAAATAAACAAATAAATTACAGTGTATAGTGTAAATGTAAAAACTTGTCATTTGCACTTTTGGAACAGTTAATGTATTATATAGGCTGAGGTTATGATTCAATATTTCTAATGAAATCTTTTTTGCCTGTCATTTCCTTTCTAAGTGGTGGGGAAACCTTACGCAGAGGAATGAAGATTGCCCAACCACAGACGTTGAGATTATTGACAAAAGTGAAAGCGAAGAGGTTCATCAAACTTTGGTAACACAACCCACAGACACCATCCCCGAGCAACATGACAGCATGTACTACATTTACTCCTCTGAAACGCTTGGTGAAAACACAGATCTGCAATACTCGAAGAGTGTGTTAGGGTACATCGCTCTTGAGGACTACAACAAATGATGCTGAGACTCATTGGTGTAACACATTATAAAGTTCACAAGAAGATATTTGATAGTAACTGAAGACCAAGAGTCTAAAGGCCCTGTTAGCACCCTCTGTAATGCCAAATCTGGATTAACAAACACCTTTTTTGCATTGACTGCCATTCAGATGTAGCTATCAATTCTAAGTATTTTAGATTATCGATTGATTGGTTCCTAGCAAACAATTTTGTATTTAATAGACATCTAAATGTAGACAGCTTGACTAAAACAAGGCTAAACTTGGGCTGTCAGTGAAAATCCAATAAGACATTTAAGAAAAGCCCAAAACTAGACTAGTCATCAAACAGACAGATTAGACAGACTTTATATGTGTAGTCATTCATTTCTGTTTATTTGATGATAAGTTTTAGCCTAGATGTCTATTACATTATTATCGACAGCGCAAATTGTTTTAGCCAAGACAAGTTTGTTTAGACATCTATTAGACCTCTTTTAAAAACAAAAAATGCTTTCTGGGGTGGATCTCACTCCTTAAGTCTGCGATCATAACTGTGGTTAATAATAATAACAGTTTAAGCACATCTGCTTGCAACAAACAATGTGCAGTACAATATTTGGACAATGGAGGGCACTCTGACTATCCTGATGTGTTAAAGAGCTGGAACATATCAAAGGCAACAAGGAACACACTCTTCACAGCATCACAGCCTTCTCTTAAGGGAGGATGTACGTTAATTTGAAGACTGATTTAAAAGATTAATGTGAACCTGCATAATAGATGTGCAGTTTCAGTGTGATGGTGAAGCAAAGCCAGGGCAGCAGCCACACACTCCGGTCGCTTGTGATTGATGAACTGGGAGAATGAGCAAATGATCATTTACAGATAGAAGCAAACACAAACACAGGCGGATATACAGTACGAATGGGTACCTGTTCAGCCATACCTGCAGCTTTGAAAAATGGATCAGTGTTATTTTGGTGTGATAAAATAGTAAAGTCTTTATGGCTTCATATAAGTTTTTAAAACTTGTTTGCTTACGTTTTTACTTGCTAATGTAAAGAAATAAATTTTATAATGTTTACGGTTTTATAGGTCGCTCAAACTATTTTGTGACAATCACAGAGCTGTAATGAATTAGTTGCTTTTAATAAACATTTTAATAAAGATGGTGAACTTTCATCATTGCAGATATGTTTATGAACATGATTATCATGTTTAACAGTTCATTAAAGTAAAATCTTGGAGCCAATAGACAGACTGTACAAGAGGGCCTATAAGATCCACAACAGACTTTCTGGATGGACTTTTTAAAAAATCACATGCTCGTCATCTGATGGTCAACTATTGCTGTAGCCACTGAGATAATAGCCTGCTCTTCTCTATTTTATATGTTTAGTGATTGTTTGTACTGTGTTGATGGATGAGATGTCTGTCTGTTTTTATGTTCTGCAGAGCAGGAACCTGCTGATAAACAGCATTCATGCTGAGTCAGGCCCGATTATCTTTTAATCTTTTTCTGTTTAAAACATTATAAATAAATAAATAAAAAATGTAGACAAACCAAATACTAAACCATTTTTACTTGCAAATAGTTACTCTGATAATGTTAGTGGTAATATTAAAAAAAGGCTCAGATCAATTTACATATGGTTTTATGATTTTGCTTCATACTACTATGGGCAAAATAATCATTTACAGATAGAAGTTTTAAAAACTCGTTTGCTTACCTTTTTGCTTGATGATGTAAAGAAATACAATTTATAATGTTTACAGTTTTATAGGTCATCCAAAACAATTTGTGACAATCATAGAACTATAATAAATAAGTTGCTCTTAATAAATATTTTTATAAAGATGATGCACTTTGATTATTTAACAGTTCATTAAAGTGAAATGTAGACAAACCAAATACTAAACCATTTTTACATGTAAATGGCTCAAAATGGGCACAAAGGGATCAGATCAATTTACATATGGTTTTATGATTTTGCTTCATACTACTATGGGCAAAATAATCATTTACAGATAGAAGTTTTAAAAACTCGTTTGCTTACCTTTTTGCTTGATGATGTAAAGAAATACAATTTATAATGTTTACGGTTTTATAGGTCATCCAAATCAATTTGTGACAATCATAGAACTATAATAAATAAGTTGCTCTTAATAGATATTTTTATAAAGATGATGCACTTTGATTATTTAACAGTTCATTAAAGTGAAATGTAGACAAACCGAATACTAAACCATTTTTACATGTAAATGGCTACTCTGATAATGTTAGTGGTAACATGAGACAAAGGGACCAGAACAATTTACATTTGGTTTTATGATTTTGCTTCATACTACTACGGGGCATTACCGTATAAGTAAAATAATAATCAGCTTGATCAGCAGATACAGATAAAAGGTTTACTCAGAATAATATACGATACAAAATAAGATAAATATCTTTCACTCTATGTCATTTTCCATCTACGCCTCTTACTGTGAAACTGTTTTCCAAGAAGGGGGCTGAAGGTGGTATTAGTTCGCATTTCACACATGATAATTTCCCATATGCTGACCACTATTACATCTAACATTTGGGTTAGCTATAGTCACCATTGTGACTCTTAAATCAAAGTTCACGCCAGATAAAACCTTCACACCTCCTCCAGCTTACATAAGAGAAGCAACAAACAGCTTGCTCGATTAATAAAGTATGCTAAATATGGCTTACAGTCATGTTTCTGCAGAGCTATTTAATGATAATCAACGCTCCAACAATTACATCTTTACACTTTACACTTTTAATTATACATTGTGCTTTTCTGTCTGGCAAACGGGAATGAATCGTGTTCCCTGGTGGATTGTTCTCCAGAGCATTAGGCAAAAACATGTGGGTCTATCTGTGATGATTTTTGCTCTTAAATTCCAGGAAACACACGCACACACACAAATACGCAGCAGAAGAGATCAGCCTTGCTGGACTAAAATGTTTTATTTATTGTAATGCTTTAGTGGGGGAAGACCCAGATCATGCATTCATTATCATAAAGGCCCCGAGACATTCAGCACAAAGAGCGAGACGAGTTGCGCTGCTTCAACGGCACCTAAAGAACGTGCAGGTGGAAGAACGAGTAGTTGTGGCGACGTGACAGAAGATGACAATGTCAAAGAAGCGCCATCTCTAGCATATAAACTGTCCCTGAAGCAGACACTTAAGGGAGATGTAAAACACTACACATCTCTGTGTTGTTTTCACTCTCATCAACTTGTTTTTAATATGCTATCGTTGAATCTGTCAGGGCCCCCAGGCGGTAAATGGCGAATGACAAATGTTACAGCAAGCAAACCCACTGGAGGCTGACCATATTGTACCTGCGCCTGGCGTCTTGATGCTTTTATTTATCAAAAAGCTCAAAACTGGCGTCTGTTTTTTCACCTCCATGTCTCTTCCGGGTTCTACTGTATGTGAGTTTGGTGGATGCACTGTAAAACTGATTCTCAATATAAAAAAAAGACCACAGAGGCCCTCTTCTCTATTCAATTATTTAGAGTTGAAGAAAGAAGCAATAGTATCAACATGTTTCCTCAGAAGCCCAAACGTTCAGGAGGAATGAATAACATATTTATATAGTAACCGGTGCAAAACTGCCGGAAATGGAAACAAATACCTTCTAAAGGATTTGTGGGATTGCGGTGAACCTCCGAACACAAGGTGCTGATAAAAGCACTTCTTTTGTATAGTCTTCCCTTTTTTTCATATTCAAAAGAGCTAAGTAAAAGAAATCCACCCTGTTGCCTTTTAATTATATTAAAGCTTTCAAAGAAAGCGAAAACTTCCACTCCTCTTACAGCCGTATACATCTTATAACTCTTTGCACTTGTGTGCTTGATAACATAAAAAGGTGTCACTGCCAAGCGGTGGGGTAATGCCTCTAATTATGTTGAACTGGAATAAATAAATTATTTGCTTTTCACCGGGTGAGTGTGACAGGTTTGCCAACAGCCTGACAAATGGAAGAATCGCTTGCAAATGCAACTCGCGTATATAACGTACAGCGGTGGAAAGCTCCAGACAGGGCGAGAGCTTGACAGCCGTTTTTTCCCCCTCCTGTGTTAACATCCTCAACGCTCTGCTCAAAATAAAGCTCTGTTTGAGGACTATAAGGGCTGTGTTGCAGTGAGCCTAATTGTGCCAAGCCTGATCTGGTATTCATTAGTGCTTATTACTTGTGACCTCACCTGCAAGTCGAGCCTGTCAAGATTCAGCCTGCTCCTTTGGCACTTGCGAAGACTCTCCTCTGTGGTTATGGAAGACGACACTAGACAGACAAATTACATGAACCAAAGGTTTCCAAGTATGAAGCGAGATGTCATTGGGCTGGTGCATCGATTAAGTCTGCTGTACGACAAACAAAGACAAAGAGTAGGTATTTTGGCAGGGGCTTTCCGAAGAAACCATTGTGTTTGTGGGAGGAAAGATTTGATTATTAGTTTTTGCCACTAGCACAGATGAGAGGAGGAAGCCTCGGCGGAGAATAAAGAGGATGTGTGGTTGTGGTGGGCGTGGAGCCGGCAGAGAGTTTATGTTGCATTCAGCGATCTTCAAAGGTCAACTTTAAACTGTACTGTTGTTCCTTAAGGATGAATGGCGTACATTCATTATATAGGCGCTCGGTTTCAAAAACCCTACGTAGGTCGCATTGTTAGGCATTGCAGGCCAGCTCCTGACACTGAGGCTGCTGCATAAGGTTGGCAACATGATTATGCCACGCTCTGAGATACTGTACCTACTTTTTCTTTTTTCTTTTTGCAATAAATGCAATTCAACAATGCGTTGTGAGATTTGTGGAACAAAAGCACAATCAATAATGGTGGATCGCAGATAAATTATTTAATCCAAAACATTGATCAAGAAATTAATCCAATTAAATGCTTACACAATATTTATCCTTTGGAGTAACTTGCCATTAGCCTTGCAATGTGCTAAGCTTGGAACAAATTGAGTAGTGTTGTCTCTCTTGTGTTTT